TACACTAAACTTTGAGAAGCATGTTTAATTTTTCATTTTTTTTATGTAAAAGGCTTCATACAAGGGCAAAAAACATGCTTACAAAATGAAAGAGGTTGGTCTTGGTACCTAAGTTTTTATTTTAATAGATTTGGTTTATATATATAATTTTTGTTTTTTGCTTATATTCAATTATGAAACTTTTGATTTTAACAGTGGCAACTTATGTGGTTTTTTTTTTTTCTGTATAAATAACTGAAAAAACCTAGAAATGCTTTAAGGATGTTTGTTTGAAGTGGAAGCTAAAGAAAAAGAGGAGAAATGCAACAAGAGTTTAGAGAGATTGGGCTAAGGATGGAAGTTGAAGAGAGCTTAAAATAGGGGTGCAAGAGAAATGGGAGACATGAAGATCCAAATCAATGGAAAGGAGAAGAGTACCTCAAAAAAACATAAGAAGTAGTTTGTTTTAGTCTATTATGGTATTTTGTTGGCTTGTATTGTAGTCTTTTGTTTATGTTTACCATGGTCTTTTGCTTAACTCCACTGTGTTCTTTTATTTATGTTTAATGTCATTGTGGAATTCTATTTTGTTTATGTGGTTCAATCTTTTGTTGATCTATCTAAAGTATGTATGTTGTTTAAGCAATTAAATACATATGATAAACATATTTAGCATTATCTATAGTAGCAATCTATTTTTAATTTGACATACTATAGACTTGCAAAAAATGATAATTGTACAAAATGAACACTTTCCATTTCTAGAAACTATGATTATAAGTCAAATGATCATTTGTTCATCTTACATTAACAAAACATAAGCAAAATGACCACTTCCTGTTGCACCTCACAAAATGGCCATTTGGGCATCTTATAGGGCAAAACAAACACAATATACATTAGCCACTTGTTGTTGCACCTCACTTTAACAATATCGACAAGCAATGAAAACAACACACACCCAAAAAAAAAAAAAAAACAGCAGTCTTATAAAAGTTCAAACTAAATTCATCTAGCCTTTCATTCTCTTCTATTTTTTTAGGCATTCCTTCATAGTTGTCCATTGCACTAATGCACCTTTCATCCTTTTCTCTTTTACAAACCATTGCTTCCATTTTAATAGCTCAACTACCCTTTACCCTAGTTGATTCTACTCTTAACATCTTGTTCTCATTCTCCAAAGCCAATTTTTCATTTTTAAGCCCGTTAAACTTGTCTTTGTACCAACTCGATAATTTAGCATCAACCTATTCAAAAAAATTGCAAGCTCTTGCTCCACCACCAAGCTACACTATTCAAAACAAGATTCAAAAGCAAATAAACCTAAAATTAAATTTATTTCAAGAACAATTATATAATACCCTTTACTAACCTACCAATATGGGCATTTGTAGTACCTTCTTCCAGGGTTTAACTCACTTGTGCTAATGTGAAGCCATGCCACTAATCCGTGATTGCAAAGAATTTGCCCAACACAAGATCGACCCACAAAAGGTCAAAGAGAAAGGGTAGATGTTGAAGATGAAGCCCTAGCCTTCATCTTGGTTTCAAGACAAAAATCGAAAAAAGATTTCAAGAAGGATTCTATTGCTCTACCTCACCTCCACCTCTACCTATCTTGTTGGTTTTTAAAATGGATATTAAGTCAATTAAGCCATTGTAGCTCTATCTCTACCTTTACTTCTCTACTTGCACCTCCACCTTCACCTTCATTATTTTGTTGGTCTTTTAAACAAATATTAAATCAATTAAGCCAATAACTTTGTTTCACCTCTGCTTCAGCCTTCTCCTCCACCTATGTTTTCAAGGAACTCAAGTTGATTTTAAGATCTCTTTGCGTTTTCAAGAATGAAGGATAGGAAATTTTAGGATCTCATGTTTTCAAGAATGAAGTTAAAATTAGGGATTGTATACTCAATTCATATGTCAAAACTAAATTAATGCAATCCATAATCAAAAAGACTGAAAGGCCCATTAATGGGTTCCAATTGTTTGTGAAGGGATAAGTCCCTAAAAATGATCTACATGACGTCCATAATGACATGTTAACATAATTTTTTTCAGATAGCATTCCAGTTGGGTGGGGAGTAATAGACATTAATGAAGTCAATAAGACATTTTACGGTAAATTAATTTTTCATCCAATTAGAATCTTATTTGAGAATTTAGTGTAGTTTGATACCTTAATTGAATGCAATTGAAGTTTGGGTCTAAAATTGTGAATTTTGTACAAATTCAAATCCTTAGACCATACTTTTGCCCAAAATAAATGATGGCCATAATCAGACTACTATTAACCATGCCCATAATTTGTATCCCGTTAAATTCTGTGTTTTGTTCAGGGCATTGAACAGTGTGAATACTGCTAAAGGCTCAAGGCTCCTTTGAGCTCGTGCTCAAGTGGTCGGGAGTCCCAAAATAGCTCCTATTACTCAGGTGCAGCGTACGTAGATGCCGTTAGCTTCTGGTACATTCGAGTCACGAACATACCTATGACGTGAAATATGGCAGCTTTGCCTTTGGTACTTACATTCCCCCTTCTCCATTTCCAAATATAAGTTGGATTGTTTTTTTTTTTTTTTTTCGTATTTTTAGATCATATTATTTCATAACATATAGAAATGGTAAGTAAAATTTTTTATTCAATAAAATTATTTAATAAGAATTATTTAAAAAATAAAAATTTTCAATTATTATTTATATATTATAAAAAGTATTATTTAAAAGGTAAAATTCTATATTAATTTCTTAAATTTATTTTAAATTCTAGATTAAATCTTTAAATTTTTATTAAGAAATAAACTTTTGAATTTGGTAATTAAACAATTTGATCTTTTTTATGATAGATTTAATCTTCGTTTATACCTCGCTTATAAAAATAAAGTATTGACATATCATTATTTATATAGTAAGTATTAATTTTATTTAAATAAGGTATAAATGGACGTTTAATCTATTGTAAAAAAATAATTAAATTGCTCAAATTATTAAATTTGAGAATTTATTTATTTTAATAAAAATTTAAAAATTTAATTGAGAATTTAAAATAAATTCAAGGACTTAACGTAAAATTTTACTTACTTAAAATTATGAATAAACTTAAAATTTTAATTTGTTATTTCCTTAACAAAGCTAGGATTTTATTCTCTTTTTGAAACAAAGAGTATAAAAATTGTGAAATAACAATTTTACCCTATGTCTTATACAAGTGGTCAATTTTAATCATTAATAGAGAGAATTACTTCGATAGAAAAGAGTTTATACATTATCAATAAGACGTGCTTTTCCAAAAAGAAAAAAATTTAAAGCTTTGTTAGTTTGAATATGGCTTTTTTTCTTTTTTCTTTTTTTCTCTCCTTTTTTTTTTTTTTTTTTTTTGGTTTAAACCGAAGCTGAAAGTTAAAAAACAACTCTCTATTCTGCATTCAGGGCCCACCTACATTTCACCTGACTTTGATTTTGACGGTTCTTATTTCTGTAAACTATTGTCTGATGAGCAGTGCTAGGGGTACTCGCCTCTTGCACTCTCTGGCCAACACTTCCCCTCTCTTTGGGCCACGTAAGCTTATTTCAGGCTTTGAAGTGCAACGTCTTCGACAATAACAACGTGGCCCAATAAAAGTGAAAGTGCTGGCCGGAGAGTGCAGGAGGCGAGTGCCCCTAGCACTCCTCATTGTCTGATTATTTACCAAGAAAGTATTATCTGATTTTTTAAAAATTTCTTATTCTTTGAGCTTTTCCCCCCCTCAATTTCACTAGTTAATGAAAATATATTTAATCAAGTTTAAATATTACAATTTGTTTGGATTAAGGGATTTGAAGGGGAATCAGAGAAAAATGAAGGATACAACATTCTTTCATTTCTTTCCCTTTTCCTTCTTTTATTTGGACAATTTTTCATCTCTTTTAAAATATTTTCTAACCAAATAAGAAAATTTTCACTTATTCCCTCTCATTTTCTTTCCTTAAGCAAAACATACTTTTTTTTTTTGTACATAAACAAAACAGTAGACATTAAAAAAAAGTTATTAAAATTAAAATATTTTTACTCCAATAAAATCTTAAAAGCTAAGATGGTAAAATCTTTAAAGAGAGATTTTCTCTTTAATTAAATTAAATTTATTTATGAAATAACTAAACTATTTTTAGGGTAATAGGTATTTGAGGTTATTTAACAAGTTTTGCTTGGTTATAAATAAGTCATTCATTTAATAAGAAGTCATTTAATAAGAAGAAGGAGGAGGAGGAGAAAAGGAGAGAAACTATAAGTTTCAAGACCCTCAACAATTTCCAAAATTTCAAATCTTAGCTACGGAAAGTCTCAGCTACCTGTTAATGGGAAGTTTCAAATCTCTATCAAAAAGGAAAAATCTCAAAAACAAATCTTAGATCCTTTAATGACGATCAAATTCAGAACCTTGTCTTTCCGAATCTAACTGTAAATTAGATGATCATGTTGCTCTGAAAATGTGACACTAGCAAGTGTATTGCGGCACCACAAATCATAAATTATTTCTCGTTTCTTTTCCAATTTATTATAATTTTGCATTTATTATTTTGCAAATCAATGTACATTGTTTGATATTACAACTTTTGTAACTACAACACTACTAAAAAAGACTCGAATGTGAAACTGTTAGTTCAGGGGTATTTGGTTTGGAAGAGTTTTTTCTTCGGACAAATTCACTTGAAAGAGTTGCAAAAAACGACAATTTGTTGAAAAGTTTGTAACTTAAAAAATTTGGAGAAAATATTTTCTTTAAGGACAAAATTAAGGCAGACTGTTAATTTCATCTTTTATTTGTTAAAGTGGTAAAACGCAAAATATCTCTGAACTCTCTCAAACCAAACAACACCCAGAAGTATAAGACTTCAAACCTTAGAGGACATTGACCCCCAGAAGAATTAGCTTTGAAACCTTGGAGAACATTAGATATGAACCTTCAAAAATCCAAATTGGGAGAGGGACATCCTTGATCATTTGTACAATGAGAAATGGTAGTAAAAGAATAATCAGAAGAGCAAAAATTGAAAATTTCCATTAACCAAACACTAAGCCTCCTTATGATATAAGAATTCATATCTTATAAACACACTTGAGATAACTAACATAATAGCAGGGTTGAAAACCTGCTTATTTTATTGAGTCACTCACGACATTGACAACAAACAAGCATGTAACAAAGGCTTACAGGCTAACCAATTTGAGAGAGTTTGCCTTCTCTTGCAGGGTGTCAAGAAGGCTGTCAAAGCTCTTCTTGAAGGCATCAACCCCCTCGAGTTCAAGTTGAGACCCAACATAGCTCCAGTCAACTCCCAACTTCTCAAGGGCGCTATAGATGCCTTCAGCTTCAGACACGTTTGAATCTATTGTCCTTGAAACATTGCCATGATCTATAAACGCTTGGAGAGCTTGGTCAGGCATGGTTGAAACCTAGAATGAAAAAATGACCGCAAACATTAAAGGATCATTCATCATCAATTAAATCTTTTTAAGAACTAGTTCTCTAAATAAGAATCAGTATGGAAGTAAGTTAATAAACATAAAAATAACTAACCGTATCAGGGCCCACAAGTGGGGCAACATATAAAGTGTCAGGATAGGCAGGATTCTTGACACTGGTTGAGGCCCACAGCAGCCTCTGCTTCTTGGCACCCTTTTTCACCAAAGCCTCCCATCTTGGACCAGAGAATTTCTTCTGGTAGAGCTGGTATGCGAGGGCTGCTTGAGCTACTGCAGCCTAAAAAGTTGATTACATGAGCAAATCTTGACTATGACTTCAGTTAATATCCAAAGCAAAAGAACATGTATTTTGCAGTTTAATTACCTTTCCTCTCAGATCAAGGGCTTCTGGCGTTCCAATCTTCTCAAGCATCTTGTCAATCATGGTGTCCACCCGACTAACGAAAAAGGAGGCCACACTTGTAACCCTAGAGAGGTCACTTAGCCCAGAGGCCTCAAGGCCATCCAAGTAAGCATCAATTACAGCTTCATATCGAGCAAGAGAGAATATGAGCTGCACAAAATGTCATAATTATAAGAAAAGAAGTGTATTTTAAGATCTTACTGGTTAATATTTTGTGAATAACAAGAAAAGTATATACTCTTCATAAACACACCAGATTTTTATTAATCTTTCTCAAACTTCACTGAAGCTAGGCCAATACTAAAACAATCAAAAAAGTTAGAGCCACAATTTTCATGATGGGAAATGCTGGGTTGGTAGGATGGAACGACTCCTAATCACAATTTAATAGCCAAACCACAATATAGATTGTCAGGAATGCTATAGATTGTCAGGAATGCTATACCAAAAAGCATGCTTGTAAGAAAGCTGCTAAAACAGATGCATGTTGTACAATACCGATTGTTCATAACTTCATTATGTAGTGCAGGCTAAATGAGGAGGCATAGAACTTACAGTGACATTGACGCTTATGCCTTGTGCAATAACTTCCTTAATTGAGGGGATGCATGGAGCTGTAGCAGGAATCTTAATGTACACATTGGGACGACTGACCACTTTATGAAGCCATTTTGCTGCCTCAATTGTACCTTGAGTATCATCAGCCAGCCTAGGAGAGACTTCAACGGAAACATAACCATCACCTCCATGTGTCTGATCATAAATTGGCTCAAAAAGCTTGCAAGCATCTTGAATGTCCTTCACTACAAGCTCCCAATATGCACTTTCAATATCTTTCCCTGACTCTACGAGTTCTCTGCAAATTCCATTAATTTAATGCCACACCAATTGAAAAAGATCATATTTCTTTTTGGCCAATGAAAAAAAAAGGTCAGATGGAATGAAATTTCAAATTTTGTACTAGGAAATCAAAGGAATAACACAGTCAGCTCTGAGAAACAAAAAGACTGGTCGAACTAGCCTACTCTTGACAGATAGGCATGCTCCTAGTGTCTGTTATAACTAAATCATGACAACGCTTTTGAATAATGAATTTGAGGACTACCTAAATTGGTCATTGTAAGCATTTGATGATGATATTGCCTTTTGGAAAATCTGCAATCACACATATCAAAAAACAAAACAAAAAATTGTCACAACGAATTCCAATGAATAATGCCACCAATTAGATCGACGAAGATCAAAACCCATTGCAACTACTTACCGCCGGGTTGCTAGTTACACCTCTAACACCACTCGCAATCAATGGAAGCAGATCAGTCACGGGCCGGCAGAGATTATCATACCAAGGACTCTGCCCTTCTTTCTCATAGAGATCATGCAGAGTAGTTTTCTTGGTTGGACTCCCATTTCCTGAAATAGAGCATCTCGCACTGCAATAGGGACTTTGTCAATAACCCTAAATTTAATGGAAAAAGGAAAGATGCCACAATGAATTCAAATGCTATTTCTCTATTTTTTTGAAAAAGATAGATCATGGGGAAGACGTTGTTTTGAAGCAATACGTACACCAAGGTGCCTCTGGAAGGATGGTTGCTTCGTACACACAGACTAGATGAAGAAAGCTTAGAGCTGAAACCACCTGTGGTCCGGAAATCGACGAAGACCATGGGCAGGTGGGAAGAAGAGGATCTGGACTTGAAGGACGACGAAAGTGAGGCGGCCGGGGTCGGACAGGAGAGCTTAGAAATGGTAGCCATGGCGGCGATGAGGTGATCGGAGAGGACGGGAGGTAGGTGAGGGGAGAAAGGAAGACGATAGGATCGATGAAGAAAACGGGGGTGGGAATTGGGGTTGGAGAGGTTTTGAGCTTATATACGAGGTACGATTTGGAGGCTGCCTTTGGTTGACCCAACGGGCAGATGGAGAGGTAGGAAGAAGGGCATTTTGGGAAAATTTGGTGGACAACTTATATGAGAGTTACAAAAATTATATAAAAACATAATAGTACAAAAATATAAAAGCTAAAATTGACCATTTTAATTTTATTTTTTTAGAGATATTTTTTCAGAAATAATTTTTCCTAATACAAAAATCTTGAAAGATTGAATCTATTGTTAAGTAAATATCTTATAAATCAAGTTTAAAATTTTAATTTTAGGATCAACTAATTTTAAAATTAACTTTTTTAAATGTCCCAACCAAGTATGAGTGTGAGTGTGCACTTTTAATATCAAGCCAAGAACAATTAGTTACAAAATGTGTGAAAATTGATTAGAATATACCTTGATTATAAATTTAAAAAAATCTCTAATATATGACTTACTTGACTTTTTTCTAACTTTTCTAATATGACCTTTTTATTAAAAATTTAAAAGTTTACTATCCCCACAAAGCTTCAACTAAATTTCATTAAAAATTCAATTATTTTTTCTACAATATACTTTCTAACATTGTATAATTTTCCAAGTAAAAACTTTCCTGGCTTGTAAGCAAGAGAGGCTTAATTGATATAAAAACTTTCTTTTTATATTTTTTATTTTTTTTTATTTTTTTGCCTTGGGAAAACTATTTATCAACACACTAGTAAAAAATTAAGGAAAAAGATATCCAATACCATGTTGTTTTAATTAATTTTCATTAAAAATATTAAAATATCTTAATTTTTAAAACAAAAATGAGATTATTTTAATTTTTCTTATAATATTTTATTAAAATAATACAATTTCAAATTTTTTACTTAATTTTTTTTTAATAAATACGGCTGACAAAGACTAATATATCTCGTCTATGTAGACTATTAATGTGGACAAATGAATTACAGAATTACACATCCTCGTGGTTTTTGTAGCATATGAGATTTGCCCCATGACTTTTGAGAAGTTGCATTTAACCTTGAGGTTCACATGTGAACCATAACTTAGTTGCAGAATCTAAAGATATCTAAAACCTCCCTTTAAGTCTCTTCCTATGTCTGTCTTTTGGATTGTGGTGTAATTTTGTATAGTTCGGGGGCATTACTCTCTTCTGATAATCACATGTGTTCCTCGCAATTGATGTAATTGTTTAAAATTTTGTGTTTCATTAGAAGAACAATTGTTTACAAATAAAAAAAAAAAACAAAATTATTTAGAATACTAAAATAATTCACAAAATAATTATTTTAAATTATAAGCTCGTTTCTAATATCTGAATGGAAAATGATTTTGGAACAATTTTTTATATCATCTTTTGATACAACCTGACGTATCATTTAAATAATCAATTCTTTTTATTCATTTAAAACTCGTAATATTAAATATATCTACTTATTTAATGATACGTGAAAATTATATAAAAAAAAGTATAAAAAAATTGTTCCTATATCACCACTCTATCTAAATTATGTTCTTCTTATTGTTTATTTAGAAATTTTAGTTTTTTTTAAACATAAAATACCAATGCAGTCTTTTTATAGTTTATGAATAAATTTGCAAATTCTTGAATCTATAATTTTATTGGTCTTTTATATTATATAATAAAAAAATTGATCTTCTGATGAAACACAAAAATTAAAATAATTACATCAATTGCCATGCACCCATGTGATTGAATATAGGAAGACATGTTGTGAGGATATGTCTGAATATCTCATGCCGCTCTCCTCCAAACTAATCTATATTTCATAATGAGAAGTAATGATTTAAAAGATCTTAACCTTTTGCAATGGCCTAGAAAACATTTTGATGACAATTTACTGTGATTCCCATTAATTTTGTGGCATTTTAATACTTTATTAATAATTTAGGTTATTAAAGGAGTGTGTTAATTCAAGTAGTCCACAACCAACTGAATAAGATTTATGATTAAATTGTGTTAGTCAGAATTGAATTCGTTATTGTGACGTCTAACCATATAGAAAATGAGTCAAAATATTAATTTAAATCAAACTTTGCAAGTTGAAATTAATGTCTACCTAAGTCAACAATGTTAGCAGTTGAATAATATAGCACAAAAGATTTATCAATTGATTCCCATAAAAAAAAAAAATTCTATTAAGTGATGACTATTGAGTATGATAGAAATGTTTTCCATTTAATTTAAATAATATGAGCGTATATACAATTCACTTATGTGTGTGTAAGTTTTACAAGAAAAGTGAAAATCACTATATTTCAATAATTTAAATGTCAGAATTTTTTATAAAAATATTAAAATGCCTTTAATAAATTTTTTTGTGTATTGATTCATTAAAAATATTTTAATTTTTTCTTCATCAGTTTTTACATTTTAATTGTTAAGATATTCTGATTTTACTCAATTCACTTATAAATAAATTACAATTTTTTTTTGGGTGCAAAAATAAATTATAAATTGTTGATTTTATAGTTTTAACAGTAAAAGTAATAATGTTATATTTAGTAATATCATTTTATTTAATTATTAAATTTCAAAATCAATCATCGATAATATAGAATTGGTTTACGCAAAACTTACATATGCATAAATAAGTCCTATCTCATCTAATAATAATTTGAATGTATTCAATTTTTTTGTCCAACAGCAAAGAGCAAACTATCCAATGATCCAATGGTAATCTTCAACATTTAAAATTTATGGTAAATTAAAAGTCTTAAATATTGAGTCATACAAAACGCAGGTGGAGTAATCAGACTAATATTGAAAACTAATGACCATATGAAGAGTGTTAAAGAGGTAGATTGAAAAGAGGTAAGAATAGAAGTGAGACATACAGGAATATCCGTTATATGGAGGACCGGCAGGGGCAATCAATCAACCAAAACAGGAAGGAAATTTTTTTTTTTTATCACGGGGAATTTGGGAAAAAAGGATTTTTTTCAAGTTGATAGAAACCAAATTTTTAATCAATTATACTCAAATATTTAAAACTTAAAACAAATCATTAAATTTGAAAATTTAGTTCGAAATATGAAGGTTTTTGAAGCTGACAACAACCGAAGTTTGTACATTGAATAATAAATATTAGTGTATGAATGAAGCTAAAGGTCAATTCCCCATTTCTTTATTCTATCGGTAACACCAACCAGCCCTCTTTGGATCTTTGAACCCTTGATGGCGATAGAAATCTTGTTGTTGTAGGAGGCTTAGAGCTGCCTCAAATTTGGCCTGTCTTTATTGTGATTGAAAAAGCTACTTAACCTTGTTTATCTGACCATTATTATAGCGGAAGGGTTGTTACTTCCTGTGGTGGATTTCTGTAATATTTTTGGTACATCTAATCCATACAACAAGAATAACTTTTAGGGGCGCGATTTTCCTTGATCCCCGCAGGGTTTTATGGGGATTCCCGCCAAAGGGTGGGGGCGCAATGGGTGATTGAAGATATTTTGTTTTCGTAAAGTTCTGTAATTTTACGGAGATTTTTTTGGCAAAAGTCTAAAAATAGCCTCTTACCTTGATAAGTTGGATGGTTTTAGCCCCTCACCTTATAATATAATGGTTTTAGCCCCTCACCTTATAATATAATGGTTTTAGCCCCTAATCTATAAGAACGGAAAAAAATGACCCTTACCTCTAACTTCCGTCCACCGTCTGTCACCTCCGTCACTTTTTCCGTTATATTTTCGTTAATTTTGTTCGGCTTATACCTATAATAAATAAAAAAAATGGGAAAGCTTCTCCAAGAAGCTTGATACTTTTTTTTTGGGAATTCCAACCTTTTTTTTTGAGAATTCCAACCTTTTTTTTTTTTAGAATTCTAACATTTTTTTTACCTTTATTTTTAAAGATGGCTGCACATATATTAATTGTATATAATTTTTATATATTATTAAATAAATAAATATAATTAATATCATAAGTACAAATAAATAAAACAAATGAATAAAATATATAATATAATAAAAAAAGATAAAACTTCTTCAAAAACCTGTTGCATTTTTTAAAATTCTAACATTTTTTGGACTTTTATTTGTAAATATTATTGCATATATCCATTGTATTCAACCTAAAAAATAATCTACATACAATATATTCTTAATTTTGAGACTAAGGTATAAACAACAAATTAAACAACAAAAATAGCATGCATACAATAATTTTTAATTTACTTGTTTTAAATTTGTTGTTTATACCTTAATCTCAAAATTAAGAATATGTTGTATGCAGGCTATTTTTTAGGTTGAATACAATGGATATATGCAGTAATATTTAAAAATAAAAGTCAAAAAAATGTTAGAATCTTGAAAAATGCAATAAGTTTTTGAGGAAGTTTTACCCTTTTTTATTATATTATGTATTTTATTCATTCATTTTATTTATTTGTACTTATGATATTAATTATAT